AGGACCCTCTGGGGGTGCCGGGGGGGGGGAGTTACTGCGGGTTGGGGCAGTTAGGGGCACAGGGGGTAATAACCCCGGGGTAGGGCACTGGGGGGGGGCAATTACAGGTCTGGCAGGAGTTTATTACTTGGAAGATCACATTGGGGCTTTTAGAGGTCTGGAGAGAGGAGCTGCCCCAGGCTGGGGCAGTTGTGGGGCTCAGGGGGGTAATTTCCCCAGGTTGGGGTACTCCCCCCTGCAATTGCCCCAGCCTGGGCTATGGGCTCCCCCAGCACTCGAATTGCCCTGACCTGGGCCCTTGGGAGATCCCATGGGGACAGTTAGGGGGCTGGAAGGGGGGATATCCCAGCTTGGGGCAATTAGGGGGGTCTCTGATGCCTCCTGCATGCGGGGGCAGGGTGGAGGTGCCCCCACCCCTGGGTCCCACTGTCCTCTGCCATGCGGGGGGCAATCCACCCCCCCCTTACTGCCCCTGGGGGGGCAATGGAGCTGCAACGGGCACAGCAGAAGGGTAAGAGGGTGTCAGGGGGCCGCAGGGGGCAGTCTGGGGGTCCCAGTGCTGGGGTGTGGGGCCCTATTCTGGGGTCCCCAGCTTGGGAACGGGGCCCCCGATCCTGCTGTTGGTGTCTGGCAGGTTTGGATCCTGGAGGGGGGATGTCAGAGCCAGGGCAGGCCGGGGGCTCTGACAGTCGTCTCCCTGCAGGCTGGCGGCGATGCAGCTGTGGCTGGGTCTGGCGCTGTGGCTGGGAGCACTGGGCCCGCTCCTGGCCCCGGGGTCGGCAGGGGCCGAGGGGCCGCGCAAGCTGCAGATCGGGGTGAAGCGGCGGGTGGAGAACTGTGGCCTGCGCTCCCGCAAGGGCGACGTCCTCACCATGCACTACACGGTGACCAGGGAGGGCACTGGAGGGGTTACGTGGGAGGGGGCTGGGGGGTCCCCCAGGGCAGGGGCTGGAGGGCACTGGAGGGGTTACATGGGGAGAGGACAGGGGCGCACCAGAGGGGTTATGTGGGGTGGGTCCCCCAGGGCAGGGAGGGGGGAGCTGAGTGGTCACCCTGCAGCAGGGGCAGCGGTTGGGGGGCACCTGGGGGCTGTGGGTGGGTCAGGAGGGGAGGGGG